TTTCCTTTCTCTAAACCCTGTCCCTCAGTAATCTCATCAACACCCACAGATTTAATTATCATTGCTATACAAATGACTCACAAATCTAAACATCCAGCCCTTGTCTCTCCAGTGTGCCAGTCCTACATCAACAAATTCCTTTTGGATACATTCCACAGGATTTCTTATAAGTATCTTAAACTTGCAAAACAGAATTCCTTATTTTTCCTTCCAAACACACTTTCCATAACTTCCTTATTTCTGTCAAGGGTACTACCAATCTTTCTGCCACAGGGGTTCATAACTTTGGAATCATCCATGGCTCTCCTTTATCCCTCACATCAAATTAGCTTCCAAGTCTTCTCATTTCTACCTTCATGACATCTCTCTAGCATCCCCATTTCTCTATTGAGACAACCACTCCCCAATTCAGACCCTTATCACCTCTCACCTGTACTATTATAGTAGCCTATTAATTAGTCCTCCCTGGCTCATCTCTCCCCTCTAAAATCTATCCTCCAACAGATGCAAAATTTATATTCCTAAAGCATAAATGTGAGCATGTCACTCTCTTGCTCAAAAAGTTTCAGTACTGCTAGACCTCCTTCCTTCACTTTTTTTGATTAGCTCTTTTGATATTCTTGACTTTTTGTTCCTCAAAATGAATTCTGTTATTATTTTTTCTAATTCACTAAAATAAGTTTTTGGTAATTTAATTGGGATGGCATTGAATATATGAATTAGTTTAGGTAAAATTGTCACTTTTATTATATTGGTCCTGCCTACCCATGAACAATTTAAATCTGATTTTATTTGTATGAAAAGTTTTTTTATAATTTTGTTTTTATAGTTCCTGGGTTTGTTTATTTTTTTTTGGCAGGTATACTCTCAGGTATTTTATATCATCTAGAGTTATTTTAAATGGGGTATCTCTTACTATCTCTTCTTGCAGGGTTTTGTTTGTGATATATAGGAATGCTGATGATTTATGTGGATTTACTTTATATCCTGCTACTTTGCTAAAATTATTAATTGTTTCAATTAAGTTTTTAGTTGAGTCTTTTGGATTTTCCAAATACATCATCATATCTGCAAAAAGAGATAGTTTTATTACCTTGTTCCCTATTCTGATTTCTTCTATTTCTTTTTCTTCTCTTATTCCTATTGCTAGAATTTCCAATCCAATTTTGAATTACACTTGTGACAGTGGGCATCCTTGTTTCACACCTGACCTTACTGGGAAGGCTTCTAGCTTATTCCCATTACAAATAATGCTTGCTGATGGTCTTAGGTAAATGCTCAGTATTTCCTTATTGCCTCTAGGATAAAATACAAATTCTTCTGTTTGGCATTTACGCTCTTCACAGCTGGGGTCTAGACTGCTTTTCTAGGTTCATAACACATCACCACCTTCTAGTTAAACTGTCTGCTATTCCTGGTACACATCATTCTATCTATTGCTTCTGTGCCTATGGGCTCTCCCTCAAGTACATAATACTTTCTCTTTTCTCCTCTGCTCTTAGAGTCCCTAGCTCTCCTTCTGGGAGTAGCCTAAATGCCACCTCACACATGCGGCCTTTTCTGATCCACTCGGCGGCTGGTGCCTCTTCATTCTGAATTTATTTTGTACTTCCTTCTATATATTTTATGTTTACGTATTTATGTACATGTTGTTACATATACATATATTGGTAATGTACCCCAATAGACTGTAAGCTCCCTCAGACCAAGTACTCTGTCTCTCTCTCTCTCTCTTTTTTTTGATGCCTAGTATAGTGCCTGCTACATAGTAGACTCTCAATGAAAGCTTACTTAATGAATGAATGAGAATGAAAGAATGAGTGAGTGAATAAATAAATGAACTGACATGCTAAAATTTCTTTAACTTTGATAGTGACTGCATAGATTATAGAAAGAAAAAAGAAAGAACTCAAAACCTTCATACAGTCACTAAGCTCTATTTCTATAACACCACAAAGATTTGGTTAACATCGAAAACAGTAAGAAAGCCTAATTTAGGGCATGAGTGAAAATTGTCTCTGTGGTTGATAATTCACTCTCAAAAAGAAAACGAAAGTTTGTAGCTGAAATGCTCAACTGCTGCTATAAACAGGCATTAATGGGGTTTCTCTTCCTGTTTTGCTCTCTCTTTCTCTGAAATGATTCTAGCTTCCACTTTTGAATAAAACAGTAACTATTTCTGGTCCTTGATTCAATGCTGGATGTTTGTTCTTGAGAGACAGGAAACAGCTTATTCTCATTACTTTGTCATCATTCGCTAAGTAAATTTAGACATATCTTCTTCATCTCTTTATGTGTCACTAATTTAATCTTAAGAGTATAGAATATTAGAGTGACCTTAGAGCTTATTAAATTCAACCTCATCACATTATAAATAAAGAAACCAGTAGTGTAATAGCATTTAACTTTCTTAAATGTTACAAAGGTTTATATTAGCTAATGAGGAAAAGTCTATACTCTGCAGAATCACTAGAGTACAGAGAACCCTGATAACTCAAATAGCTCATCCCTCTATAATTAGAACACCAAGTTATCCCTATGGTCAGGAGTATGTTGGCAAGTGTTTAACAACCAGCTCTTTGTGGGGGGAGGGGGATGAGTAGAGTAGTAGTGAGAGGGGAAGGAATTTTACACAAGATAAACTTTTAAGTTTAATCTGCATTATTAACATTTTTTCTATAACATTCTTAAATCTAGACAATTGATAAAACAGTAAGTGAAACCATGATTTGTAATGTTTGTAGATTTCCAAGAAGTAAATGAAAATTTAGCAATTGGCTCTCTCAAGCTACTTAGAGCTGACTCCAGTACACCTCTGCCTATGACACAGTGAATCTATGAAATCACCTTGAGCTCTGAGGACCTTTTGCTGCCATAAACTCGTAGAAGCAGCCTTGTTTAATATTTCTTTTCTTTGTTTTTAAAGAACTTTTGTTTTTTTATGGACATAAAGGGCCTGTATCTAGAAACATACAGACTTTTTTTTTCCTTATCAATTACTCCCAGAAGGATTTGGAGCAAAGAGTACTTGATTTCTGAAAGTGATTTCCCAAGGATCAGAGGTCACTGTGTGTGAACTTTGAAGGTTCAAGATAAGATAAGGAACATGAAAAGGTTGCTGTTGTAGACACAGTCTTTTCCTCAGAGGTGAAGGAAGGGCTTCAAGTAGTCTCTGCTGTTCCTTCAATGATGAGTGGAGATGAGCCAGGCCCTGATATGGCAGTGGACACCAGAGTAGGATAAGCGATGAGCAATTTTCTGCAGCAATCTGAACCAAGGTGAAGAGTTTCAGCTCCTAGCCAGTAATGAGAGACTGAATCATTCCTCCCGACCTGTTCATTATGGAAGTCAGACACTTTGCAGTAAGATCATGAACTGCTTTTTTTTTCAACCTGTAACAGGAGTAAGGAATAAAATCCCATTCTGAAAGGGGTGGGGTTCTATTATTTACATTTTATTAACCTTCTTACCTATTCTAATTACATTGCTTACTAAAGTAATGCCTCAGTGTGCAAAGGCATCTTTTGATATGGAATTCTGGAGAAGAAAGTAACAAGGTCAAATTGGCAGAGGCATGAGCCAGAGATTGAATGAGTCATACATATAGATTTAAAAAAAAAACAACAGGAATAATAATCAAGCTACAGTATAAGGTTGAGTGCTGGTTGAAGGAGATCCAGAACTAGGGTCTTGACAGCTGACAAGAGTCCAAACTGCCACCCCCTTTTACCAGTCACACATAGAATTGTTTACATGTGAAACTCCACTGGTAGACCACAAAAATCTCCTGAAGCCTCTAGTGGGCAGGAACAGACAAGATGGCACTGTTTTCAAAACTTGCCAGGAGTAAGCACCTGTCATCCAAGATCTGACACAGGTCCCCACATGCCTTCATTCATCCCTGGTTATTTCAATTCAACATAATTTTATGAAATGCCTACTATTTATAAGGCACTTTACTGGGCACTGGGAATAGAAAACAAATGTAAAGTACCATACACTGTTTCACATGTGAACAGTTTGTTGTGGAAAAAGGTAGAAAAATAACTTTGGTTTATTTTTTTAAATGACTGTGTATATCTTGGTACATGGTTAATTTCATTTTGTTTTCCCCATTAGACTGAGCTCCCTGAGAGGAAACTTTTTGTTTGTTTGTTTGGGGTTTTTTTTGCATTGTTTTGTATCCCTAGCACTTAGAACATTGTAGGGACTTAATAAATGCTAGTTGATTGACTGACTGATAAAATTCACATGTGAAGGAATAGTTTCTCTAAGAAAATATGAAGAGACACACAGACTGTTAAAAGAACCAGATGGAGAACTGCCCCTCAGAAGAATGGACTGAAAGGACCTGTTTGACCTCAAAAAGTTGAGTAAGCCTGCAAGGTAGTGTGATCCTTCATTTACACGTGACTTTTTCTTTTTAGTCTTTGGAAAGTTATAACTTTTGAAATGCTACATCAGATAATTACATGGAAACTATGGGAAGATTAAATAAAGATGCTTGGCTTCATAATTGACAGAAAAAAATGGATTTCATGACTTTTACCCCCACGAGGGAAAGCAGAATCACTGACCATCAGAACCCTCTGATTTGAAGTATGGAGAGATGGAAAAGCCAGCTATGAAAGAGTTAAGAAGTCAACCCCTGAGCCAGCTAATTGGAAGGCTTCGACTTCTATGCAGTGTGTTTGCTGATTGGTTGGGAGAAAGCTTGCAGTTCATTTTAAGAGATCTCTTACTCTAGGAGATGTTACCCTCAGGCATTATCTACAGTTTGAAAGCCATCAAGCCTCTCAGAAGTAACTCTATTGCTTTAGAAAGAAAAACACAAAAAGAAAAGATAGGCTTTGAGTTTGGTTTTTTTTTTTTTAATTTGTTTCTATTTGTTTTCATTTGAGAACATACTTGGAGGCAATTAGTGTAGGATTCTGCCTAGGAAATAACTCACTGAGCCTCTCTACAGGATCTAAAGAACCAACCTGAGAAGCTGTGAAATTCTCTCACTTAAGGGAACTGCTTGCTGTTATAGGAGCATAACATTTTCTCAGCACCCTGGTTAAAGATAACGGTGAGTTAAAAGAGCTTGTCCTTGCTTCATCAGTATGAGTGGATGCCCAACAAGACAGCAGTGAGGAGCAGCTCACAGAGAAGTAGCTTTGTGCATTATGTGTTGTCCCTGACAGGACCAAGTCTTTAAATCTTGCAGTTCAAAGTTGTAAATTACTTCAAGACCATGTGTTTCCCCATCCACATGCCTCCCTGTTGGGTTTGTATAAGTGTTCACGGGAGAGTGTGACCTAGGTTTGTTGGTAGAGATTATTAGTGTTGTTTCCTTTATGTTGAATAACTTTGATATTGTTTTATGTTTAAGATCTAATATTGTTATGGTGCCTTGTAAATGGGAAGCATACCAGTGGCAGAATCAGGGGTATATACTGGTGAGTAGTAGGATTGTATTCCTCCCCCAACAAAGTTATTTCTAGGATCCTGGGAGAGTTATAATTGGAGTTGTATAGTGGTGGCCTTTCTCTGGAAATCCCACACCAGTCAACATGACAGAAGTTAAGGGGAAGTGAGCCAGCTCAGAGAGTGAGAATAGCCATGCCCACAAGGGTGTTACACAAAAATGAAAGTACCTACCCTCAAGCTGACATACATTCTACTTGTAGGTACAATGTACACACAAGTAATACAAAATGAAGTCGAGAGGAAGAGACTGATAACGACTGGGGACCTCAAAGGCCTCTTGAAGGAAGTAACACTAGAACTGTGTTTTGCAAAAAAGGTGAGGATTCTACAAGGTGGAGGTGTGGAGGTGATGTATTTTTTTTCTTTAATTTAATTTTCTTTTAAATTAATGTTTAATAGCGTAAGTATATAAAATAGCTATTTTTTCAACATTCACTTTTATGAGATTTTGAGTTCTAAATTTTCCCTTCTTACCCATCCCCAAGACAGCATGCAATCTAATATAGGCTATATATGTCCAATCATATTAAACACATTTCCACATTTGTCATGTGGTGAAAGAAGTATCAGAACAAAAGGGAAAAACCACAAGAAAGAAAAAAAAGAGAGAAAATAGTATGCTTCGATCTGCATTCAGATTCCACAGTTATTTCTCTGGATGTGCATAACCATCTTGAGTCTTTTGGAATTATCTTAGATCACTGCATTGCTGAGGAGAGCTAAGTCTATCAAAGTTGCTGTTGCTATGTACAATGTTCTCCTCATTCTTTTTACTTCCCTCGGCATCAGTTTATGTAAATCTTTCCAGGTTTTTCTGAAATCTGTCTGCTCATCATTTCTTATGGAATAATAATATTCCATTACATTCATATACCACAACCTGTTCAGCCATTCCCCAATTGACGGGCATCCCCTCAATTTCCAATTCTTTGTGGAGACAATGTATTCTACCCGTGGTGGGGGGCAGGGAACACTTTGCAAAGATGCAAAGGCAGGAGATAGAATGTCTTGTAAGAGAATAGTACCAGTTTGATTGAAATGGAGAGTTGTATGAAGAGAAGTAATACACTAGAAAGTTAAAGAGGAGGCAGATTTTGAAGGGCTGAGTCTGAGGACATGGTACTTTTCATAGAGGGAACAGGAAATTTTAAAAAAATTTTGAGTAAGGAGTTACATGGTCAGATCTTTGTTTTAGTAATATAAATTTGGCAACTATGTGCAAGCTGAATTGGAGAGGGGAGATCCTGGAAACAAAGAGATCCATTATAAGAGTCTAGAAATTGTCTGCTGAGCTGAAAGAACTGAGTACTCAGAGGATATAAAAAAAAAATGAGCTACTGACCCCTCTGAGCTCATTTTCTTTTGGGCTGCCCTGTTGGTTTCAACTCTCTAGGTATCATAATGTAACTCCCTGAGACGGCAGAGGAGTACAGGGCCTCCCTACCTTGTTAACAGAGCAGTCCCATCAGTGCTCCACACAGAGATTTGTGGAAGTCTCCTCATATTTAATGGATGTCCCACTGCCATATGAGTAAAAAAACCATTATGATCCAATGTACCCTTCTAAACAGATGTAATTCCACATGTCGACAAGGGAAACTGTATCTATCAGAACCATCTATCAGTGCTGTATCCTTTCCATGCTATTGTCAGGTAATATCACTTTGTACAATTTTAAATGGTCTATGAGTGTCTCATTTCATTCCCAAGCTTAAATTGCCAGAATGACGCAAGTCACTGCTAGCCCGCAACATTTAGCATTAGGAAATAAGATTGAACTGTAATAACCTCATGGCTGGCTTTAGGAGTAAAACTGGAAGATGATTCAGAGCATGGCTAGCCTTGGGTAATCAAATGGTTGTTACACGGCAACCTAGTACACCCTGTAGTTATACAATGATAGCTGTATGTGAGAAGTCCTCTCAATGGAACAGAGAGAGGGTCTCCAATGACCTAATAAGATTAATTTTGTTGTTATTGTTTGGTCATGTCTGACTCTTCACAACCCTGTGGACCATACTGTCCATGGGGTTTTCCTGGCAAAGATACTGGAGTGGTTTGCCATATCCTTCTGCAGTGGATTAAGGCAAACAGGAGTCAAGTGACTTACCCAGGGTCACACAGATTGTAAATGTATGAGGCTGGATTTGAACTCAGATGTTCCTGACTCAAGGCCTAGCACTTTATCCACTGAGCCATCCAGCTACCTCCTTGGCAAACAGAGATTAAGTGATTTGTCCAAGGTCATACACTAGTAAGTATCAAAGGCCAGATTTGAATTTAGGTCTTCCTGACTCTAGGCCCAGCACTCTATCTACTGAGCCATCTAGCTGCTATCTTTGTCTCTAAGCAAAGGAAGGTGACATAGAAGATAAAGATAAACATTCCCTGGCTATTGTTAATGGCAAAAAAAAAAAAATCTTGTTCACTAGCATAAGGAAAATAAAATGGAAACTGTGCCTGAACATTCCAGAACTCAAGAAAGCTCTTGGTTTTTAAGGCTGTTGCCCTGAAGGCACAGGGGCAACGATGTGTAATAGCACAAGTGAAAGGGTCTATACTAATGGAAGTTAGAGTGATAAGCTATAGGTAGGAAGTATATTCCTCATCCCAGAAGTCTTAATGGAAAATGTGTTGCAATCCACTTGGATGAGTAATACAAAGGAAGAGAATGGGAGTAAGAGTGAGGATGAGAACTGGAAACTTAGCCAAAAAGCAAGGGAACCTTGGGAACACCTCATAAACAGCCCACCAAGGAGTGACTTCCTCTACAGAAGGGTTAGAGTATAGTCAAATTTTCCCCACCAGGGAGCCCAGAAGACTGCAGAAGAAATTTAAACAACAACCTAATGAGTCATTGGAATAATGGTTGGCGAGGATATGGTCAAAGGGGCCATTGCTGAGCTCCTCAAAGTAGAAAAGTTCCTTCAATGTATAGAATATTTACTTCTTCAGAACCAGAGGTCCCAGGTGGGGATCATCCTTGGAGTGTTTTTCAGTTGCTAGGATAAGCAGTTGAACATATTTGGCCCCATAAAGACACGTTCTCATCACAGCTGGTTCCCTGAAGGTCCTCATCAAGGGAGAAGGTGAACTTCCCAAAAGGAACATTTTGGTGAACTGGATCTATGCCCTGTACAGTCCTACCTCTGATCCTCCTATGTCCAAAGTAGTGCGAATAAGTATGTTAATTTAGGATGAGCAACTTCATTTGTTTTGAAGTCTTCATTTTATAACTAAGTAGCTGTTATGTAATCTGTTTTGTTTTGGGTTTTTTTTTGCTGTAATAAGATAAGCACTTGAGTAATTGGTAAACAACAACTAACTATGTATGAGTCTGGTAAACAACTGGTAAAAAACACTTGGTAATGTGGTAGAATAACTAAGGAAACAACTCAAGCTATACAAAAACTGGCAAATAGCAAAACAGGCATACTAAGTGGGTCAATGGACTCCCCAGTCAGTCCAAATACAGAGACAGATTTTTATGTATTAAAAACAATCAAATAAAATAACTAATTAAAAGAAAACAATGAACTAGGATACAAAATTAGGTAATCTGATTTCTAAGTTTGGAAAGATTAGGCACTTTCCAAGTTGGGAGGGTGAGCACGGACAGGTGCAATTCCCTGAAATCAGAAAAAGAGGTGTCTCATTCTCGCCAAGTGTCTGTATTCAATCAAAGGAATATGGAAACAATAACTGATTGCCAGTACAGGGTCAGTTTTGAGATAAGAGATATGGTTTGCTTGAGATGTTTAATTGTGAGAAAACTCATTGCATAAACCTTCAGATCTAACTGGGTTACTGATCAGTATAAGCTAGTTCCTTAGGTAAGAGTCTCTAAGCAGTGGGTAGAGGTAGTCCAGACTCCCAGACACTCAGGGATAGGTTCAAACAATGCAATAAGGCTCACAATTCTCACAATTCCCATAATTGAATAAAGTTTTCTCACAAGAAAAAAATTGGACTAGACCCATAATTGAATAGAAAGGGAACTGAGCCAGATCCAGAATTGAATCACAAGATGGAGTCAGTGTAGTTCACTCAGTTCCCATAGTAATGGCATTAGGAAACTAAAGCTTTGATTGGTAGTTTCCTTTCATTATAAACATAGGTCATCAATCATCAATCAGAACTTAGAAGTAACTTGTAAACACCCTTAGCCAGAACCATAAAATGATACCAGAGGCCCCAGTCATCATTCTCCTTCTGGGTCATGATCAGAACAGACTCCTTCATTCCTCACACTCAGAAATTCAAGCATCCCATGTTCTCTTGAGACCACTGCTAATTGGTGAAGACTTTCCAGAATGCCACCTAGCAGGGAGGCACACAACCTCTGGCTGGGCAGAGAATTAACATTGTCATGAGCACTAGTATAACGTACGCTTACTGGAATCTTTGGGAATCTAGTTAGTGGTTTGTTCCTAGAGGGGTTAATGTTTGTGTCATTGAATAGTCAATAAAGTTTGATTATATTCTTTGATGAGTGTGTCTTGTTAGTGTGCCATCAGCCCTAATAAGCTTGTGTAACAGTAAAACAGTACTGTACATTATACTCTATGAACATCCTGCATAGGCAGTAATCAGAGCCTGCCTTCTTAACAGAGCCCCAGCTGAAAAGTATCCAGCTTTAAATATGTCCCTCCCAAATCACCAGAAGAACATGTATTCTTCAACTGTGAAATTTGAGTGAAAGATCAGGACAGGTCTTTAGCAACATTCCAGGTAAATACAACTGTCCACATAAACAGACACTCTGGCAAAAGAGGCATAGCATCCACCATCTGGCTCTGTTGACTGAAGGTGAGGACATCCTGTCCCATAAGGAACTTTATGGGTGGCTCCTGAAATACTGGACTGAGAAAGAGAATATTGATCACAGTCTATGTGGATGCTAGTAAAACTGTATCAGGAAATCTATGTTGGGACCATAAGGGCCTTTCTGGCCGTTACACCGGAAACTAGGAAGTCTTGAATCAGTCAATAGTCTAGATCTAGACTTGAGGAACTTCTGGGATGAGACCCATTTAAAGCTAAAACTGAGGTTTCCCAAGGCTCATCTCATCCTAAGCACAGTAACAATAGGTAACCAAGGGTCATATGTTTGATTCATGGTTGCTCAGAAAGAGAGTGATTGTAAAATAAAGGGCAAGCAGACACTAGCATCTCGGGTACTATCATACAATAGGACCTCCAGCGGGTCTATAGGGATATGCTAGTTTTTATCCAGGGTTTTAGGAGCAGGACTCAGAGGGAAGAGGCATCTTTTCTTAGGAGGACATGAGCAGAAGATCCTCACATGGTAGTTGT